ATGCACTCAGGTGAGAAGGATGCTTAGTGAAAAAAATAAAAATAAATTTTAGCTAGATCAGATGATCCAACCAACGATAACAAAAATACTATATTTATATATCCATTAAGAGCATTTTGAACATTATTAAACTAGGGGACACATATCAACTACCCATTCACTTTACCGCACAATTTGTTTCACACTTGCTCAATGGATTTCGTCAGTCTGTCGCATAGTTTATCGTATAAATATTTCACACTTTATATATTATCTTCGCCTATTTGTTGTATATTTTATCACATATTTTGTTTCACGCTTACTCAATGAACTCATCTATATGTCGCATATAGTTTATCGTGTATTTTTTTCTCGCATTATCAATTATCTTTGCTTGTATGTCGTATAGTTTATCGGATAATAGCTTCGCACTTTATAAATTATCTTCGCATGTATGTCGCATAATTTTTCGTATAAATATTTTGCACGTTTTAAATTATCTTTGCATATCTAATCGTCCAAATATTTCGCAATTTATAAATTATCTCCGCGAATGAATATTTAGCACTTTATAACTTTATAAATGATCTTTATTTGTCTGTCGCATAATTTATCACGTAATATTATCATTGTTTATCAATTATATTCGCATGTTTGTCGCATAACTATTTTGCATTTTATATATTATCTTCGCTTGTCTGTCGTATATCTTTTTGTGTAAATATTTCGCACTTTATCAATTATCTTCGCTTGCCTGTCGCATATCTTCTCGTAAAAATATTTTGCACTTCATAAATTATGTTCGTTTGTCTGTATTTTTGCACTTTATCAATTATTTCATCTGTTTGTCGTATAGTTTATTGCATAACTATTTCACACTATCAATCTCGCATGTTTGTTGCATAGCTTTTTGTATAAATATTTCACACTTTATCATTTCGGTTGTCTGTCTCATATCTTACATAAATATTTTGCATACCTTATCGCATAAATATTTCAACCTTTATCAATTATCTTCGCTTGTTTGTCGCATAGTTTACTGCATATTTTGCTTCCCACTTTGTGGGGTGAAAAAAAAAAAAACTTATTATTTGACGGTAAGATTTGTTGCGCACTTTGTAAGATAAAATAGTAACGTATTTAACCGTGTAAAAAACTCCATGCATCTTCAAACTGAGATGAAAATAGCTTATTTCTTCTATTATTATTTATCGCGATGGATGCTTTCTGGATTAACAACTAGATTCTAATAAAATATATAATACATAATTTTCAAGGTTGTATAAATTCATCCAATATATATGGAATATCACTGTGAGTTGGCCCACATTGATTTTATAGGGAAAATGAGTCTAGTATATAAGCCTAGTGGGCTACTCCTCCCATCACCAATTGGTTTTGGGATGGAACCTCACTAAGGTGCATCTAGGCTCACCCTCTTATGATGCGCTTCATCTTGTGGGACCGCAATCTCTTCCCCCGATTTTAATATGGAAAATGAGTCTAGTATACTAGACTACTCCTCCCATCACCAATTGATTTTGAGATGAAACTTCACTAAAGTACATATAAACTCACCTTCTTATAGTACACTTTATCGGGTGGACAATATTCTCTTTACCCGGTTCTAATAATAATATAAATATATATACATTAAATACACACATACCCATGTTGAAGATCAATGGAGCAGCTCTACCTTTCTATCTTCATGTTCTTATTTTCTGTTATTTCCCGTTTTTTTTGTTCAAGTGTTGAACGGCGTCGTTTGGTGTTATACGACGCCGTTTTATTTCTTTCGCTTTGTTTTTTATTTTAGTTTGGAACGACGTCGTTTAGGTTACTTAACACGAAGTCGTTTAGGTTGTCGTTTTGCATGAATATGGCAGCTATATAAGCTGAGACCTGTACGTACATTTTACTTGATTTTCGATTTTGAGTAAGAAGAGAAAATCCCAAAATTTG